TCCTTGTGGTTTTGATTTACATTTCCCTAATGGCTGGTCATGTTGAGGGTTTGTTCTTATGTTGTTGGCCATTTTCAGATCTTCGCTGAAGAAATACTTATTTAAGTCCTTTGCCCATTTTTAATTGGGCTGTTTGTCCTTTTAACTTTGTATTGTATAAGTTGAACATATTCTAGATAATAGCCCCTTATCAGATATATGATTTATATATATTTACATACTTTTCTATGAAAAGTAGAATAAATATCACTTTCTTGATAATGTTCTTTGGTGCACAGTAGTTTCTCATTTTGATGAGGACAAATTTATTTGAATTTTGTTGCTTGTGCCTTTTTCTCATATGTAAGATTTCCTTGCCAAATCCATGAATTTATACCCCTATTTTTTTCTTCTGAGAGTTTTGTGGTTCATGATCTTATAGTATATTTATGTTGGCCATATATATTGGTTTATTTCTGACTCTCAATTCTATCCATGTGTGTATGTATATATCTATCCTTTTGCTAGTACCACACTGTTTTTATTACTATAGTAAAATTTGAAATTGGGAAGTATGAGTCCTCAAAATTTATTCTTTTTTAAAAATCATTTTTATTAGCACACATTAATAGTACAAGGGAATTTCATTGTGATATTTCCGTAGGTATGTAGAGTGTACTTTGAACACGTTCACTTCCTCTATTACATTCCCATAAAAATACATTCTTATTTTTCAGTATTGTTTTGGCTATTTGAGGCCCCTTTTGCAAATCCACATAAATTTGATGATAGCTTTTCCATTTCTTAAAAATAAAAAAATGGCCATTGGAATTTTGATAGGGATGTCACTGAATCTCTGTAATTCTTTAGTTATTAAGTCTTCCAATCCATGAATATGGTAGGTTTAATTTTTCAAATCTCCATATATGTTTTATAAAAGTTTAAACTCAGAATGGGAAAAAATTACATTGACAATGTTGAAAACCACAAGACACAATTGGAAAAATACAATTGACAAAATGCTTTTAATCACAACTCCTAAAGAGCTCTTACTTATCTAAAAATGAAGCAATTTTATGGAGAAATGGACATGCAGGGAAAATACAAAGAAAGACAAAGTAGAAGAGGCCAAAATCATGCAAACAGGTGCTTTCTAATAACCTTTAAATGTATTCGCAAGTGTGACAGGAAACTTAAAATGAGTTTTTCTTTATTTGCTATTTTTGTTTGATTTAATTTTTTTTGTTTTACAGCTGGACTAAAACTTTAAATTGACAATACAATAGGCTGATAAGGGTGTGAAGAATGGAATGTCTTCACACACCATTGGGAAAGTGCAATTGGTATATCTATTTGGGAGGGCAATTTGACAGACTTTACCAAACTTCACATCATGAATAACCTTCAACTCAATAGTGCCTAAGAGTAGCAATCACTAAAGCTTTACTGAGAATTTACTCTAGGTTGGGCATTATGGTAGTGTTTTACATTTCATGTCATATTGGCAACAAACTAGGAATTGCTGCCCTGATTATTTCTGTTTTTCAGAAGAGAAAACTAAGGCTTGAGAATGTTTAGTGCAAGGTTATAGATAATAGTGAACAATTGGAAATAAATTATCCCCCATGAGATTAGGATACAATGAATACATAACTTAGAAACTAAGTCATTTTTATGCTCTTAAATGAAATATATCTACATTGCACACAGCTAAACTCTATATGAATTTATGCAGAAAATGTAACTAATACATTGCCAACTTCTAAAAAGCAAATTATTACATGTATAGGGCCACACATATGTTTGTATTTGCAAAGAACACATCTGGGAGAGCCTCCACTAAGCTGTTAATAGAGATAACTCAGCTATTACCTTTTAGTTTAAAGGATTATCTTTTAAAACACTATGCAGCTATTCATATTTGAACATCAAATTGAGCTGAATTTTTATATACTTTAAATTTTAACAAATGGATGATGGAAGAGAGGCATTACTGATTACTGTAGTTTTTAAATGATCCCCACACACACATACACACACATACCTTTGCTGTCTCTTTCTTAGCTCAGCTCCAGCTAACTGAACGACTTTTGGTTCCTCAAATGTGTGATCTCTGTTTTGGAACTTCACAGAAACGAGTTAGTTATCCCATTTCCTGTTTCTTAATTACCTGGTTTCCTATTCCATCATTAGCATTAAATACATGGTGTTAAAACTTCCTGCCTATGGCTCTGTATAGATATAGATATAGATATATACAGATATCTACATCTATATCTATATATATATGTATGTATGTATTTGTACTGTGTGTGTGTGTGTGTGTGTGTACAAGGCTGGGGATGGAACCCAGGGCCTTGTACATGCTAGGCAAGTGTCTACCACTGAGCCATACCCCCAGCCTCTGCTAGGTTTTAAGGGCCATAAAGGTAAGGATACTACTATTCCTTAACACTTACCGTAGTGGCTGGCTTAGTGTAGGTGCTAATAAAAGTTTTTGAATAAAACAATAATACAGAACCTGAATCAATGACTGCAATAACCTGAAAGGACAAGTAGATTTTCTTTTTGTACTTTTTTTTTTCCTTTCTGGTAGTACTGGGGTTTGAACTCAGGGTATTAATCTTACTAGGCAAGTGCTATACCATTTGAACCACATCCCCAGCCCTTTCTGCTTCAGTTTGTTTTTCAGATACAGTCTCCCTAACTTTTTGCTGGAGCTGGCCTCAGAGTGATTTCTCTATCATCACCTCCTAAGTAGATGGGATTACAGATTTTGAACTTTTAACAAATAAACTACTTGCTCTTTTCTTTGTTTGTTTGTTTTAACATAACTGATGATGTCAGGAATATAAACCATTAATTATGATTCAGATTATGATAGTTTAAGTTTCACAAGAATATTATAATTTCATAAATGTTATTGTGCTAGAGGTATATATTCATGTTAAAAGGGAAAATGCTATAGAATCTACCAGCTTTTTTATACATGAAAGTTTAAAATCTAAAAATTAAAACCAGTCTAAATGAAAGTCATTAATTTCTTCATTGCTTCTTCTTTTTTTTTTTTTTTTACAAAATTTAGCAACAATTTGACTTTTAGCTATGGCATTTATACACATCAACTTATGTAGCATAAATTATATCTAAAGATCTTAGAGAAAATAAGGTGCTTGACAAATAATATTCAACTCAATAATAATAGCTAAATCATGAATACTAATTTATCTTGCATTTGAATGTTCTGCAATTCATGTTTGCTATTGTTTTTAAGTAAAGCCTTCTGTCTTGAATTTATAATCCCTAAAACTAATATTTTCTTAGCTTATTGAAAAAGAATTAATTTTATTCTTTTGAAATAAGAATGAATTTTTCATTTTTTAGGGTATAATAGTTGTATAGGGGGATGCATTGTGACATTTACATAGTGCTTACAATGTATCTTAATTAGTCTCACCTCCACCATCATTCTCTCTAATCTCTCTTCCCCTCTTCTTAGAACAATTTCAACAGGTTTTCACTGTCCTATTTTCATATACATATACAAAGTACATTCACCATATCTGCCCTTCTTTACCCTCTCAGTTTACCACTTGTTCCCACCCCCAGACAGGACTTATTTTACCTTCTTGTCCTTCATTTTTTAAAGTGGATTGTTTAAGGGTTTTTGCCTTGGTATTTCACACATATCTATGAATGCCTGCTACAAGACCCTGAGTTCAAACTCCAGTACCAAAGAGAGAGAGAGAGACAGAGAGTGAGAGGAGGAGGAGAGAGAAAAACAGTACTCCAAAACAGGATTGTCAGATAAACCTCAAACTAAATTTGAATTTTAAATAAGCAACAAATAATTTTTGGCATAAAATATGTGTCATGCAATACATGGGACATAATGTGTGTGTGTGTGTGTGTGTGTGTGTGTGTGTGTGTGTGTGTATGTGTGTGTGTGTTGGTACTAAGGATTGAAACCAGGGCCTCATGTATGCTAAGCACAGGCTCTGATACCAGGACATATGTTTTTTAAAGTACTTGTTGTTTATCTCAAATTCACATTTAACTGCAAGTCTTATATTTATATTTGCTAAATATGGTAACCCTACCCCAAAAAGGAAGAGACAACTTATACAGTTTGTACACACCCTCAACAACTTTGGTATTTCAATTCTTTTAATGTTTGCCAACCTGATTTTTAAAAATTCCATTTAAGGTTGTATCTCTTTAATTACTAGTAAGACTAGTAAACATCATGTTATAATAATTTTTTTTTCTTTTCTCTTTTGTGGTGCTGGGGATCAAACCCAGAGCCTTGTGCGTGCTAGGCAAGCACCTTGCCACTGAGCTACAGCCCCAGCCCAGCCCAGCTTAACATTCTCTTTCCTTGCATAGTCATGCATCAGTTAACTATGTTCTGAGATGTGTGTCGTTGGTCAGTTTTGTCAATGTATGAACATGGTATACAAAACTAGATGGTAAAGGTCAATCACTCAGTGTGGCCTCTGGATACTATCCATAAAAGTGACAAATGTATGTGAGGATGCTGCTGGAGTAACATGGCATATTATTTTACATAAACATTTTTATAAGTAGAGGCATACCCTCTAAAATAATTTTAAAAAGTATACTAAACACATAAGTAGCATGCTCATTTATGATCCTTATCAAGTATTATGTACTGTACATAACTGTGTGCTGTACATTTATGAGACTGGCACTGTTCATTTATACCAGCATCACCCCCAGCACATCAGTAGTGCTGACATTGTGATATGATGTTGGGAAGGCCACGACATTACTTAGGCAATTGGAGGTTTTCAGCTCCATTGCAATCTTAGAGGACCCCCATTGTAGACGTGGTCCATCGTAGATCAAAATATACAGTGAGGTGCATGACTGTATATTGTCAGTGTCGACCAAATGAAAAGACTCCATTAAGTAGTGGGGCCCTGTTACAGAACTTTAAATATAGGCTGATGTGATGGGTTTGGTACTTTGGAAGGCTCACTCTGTAAAATGGACTGCAGACCAGAGTGGGGGCAAAGGACAAAAGCAGAGAGACCAGGAGGCGCCCAGTGGCCAGCATGCAGCTCAGGGTCAAGCTCAGAGCTTCAGAGGCAAGTCAGACCAGGTACTCCTCATCAAGAGCTAATATAGTTGTTAGAAAGAGCCAGCTCAAAAAGAGCCAGCTGCTTAGTCCCTTGGAGCTGGGACAGACACAAAGGGTAGGGTGGAGCAGAAAAGACCAGGCAGGGAGGAAGCCCCATGTTTTCTCTGGGTTACTTTTCTTCTAAAGACTCAAATTTAGAAGGAAAAAAATCTAATAAATATATTCTCTTCTGAATTTCCTGCCTGCCCTTAGCCAGCTCTCAGCAAGAGCAGCCAAGTTCTAACCTCTGTGAGGAAGGCCAATAGGCTGACAGCTGGATATCAATATTTACATTATGTTATCACATCTGCTGAGGAATGCCAGGCCTGAGCAGCTCAAGTGAATTATTTCAGCTTTATCTCCTGACTGCTGGGCTCTAAAAAGCATACTTCTTTTTTTTTTTTTTTTTTGAAATCCTATAAAGCCATCTCACTGCAAGAGTTCACTTTCCTCAAGCTTTGCTGGTGCTCAGGGTATCTGAAGCACATGCTGGCTGACATGACTTGTGAGAATGTCCGCCATCTGCAAGACACATCTCCAGCTCTTCAGGAAACGCTGGCATGAGTCAGCTGTGAGCAACAGCAAAGCAAAGACATGTGTCAGTTCAGAGACCCATCTGTGACTTAGTTTTGTCAAAAAAGAAGAAGAAAGAGGAGAAGGAGAAGGAGAAGGAGAAGGAGAAAGGAGTTCAGGGAAACATTTGGAGAGATGGCTGACTACCCAGCATAGAGACAATAAATACCCTAGCTGCATTCCATAAATTAGTGACTCGCCAGATATATGCTTTCACTGGAGGGAGGAGAGGAAGCCCTAGAGAAAATACTCTTGGCTAGATACTGCCCACGGGATGAAATGCCAGACAGCTTACATGATTTGCTACACTCTGGAGTCAACTTTTTTGTTTTCTTTATCCCCATTTTCTTCTTCCATTCTAATTTTCATAAGGTATGCACAGATACAGTTCAGCACAGTCCTGTTTCATATAGACTGTTATTATTTTCTGCATTGTATATGGGTTGGATCACAAGGAGGCAAAGTTTAGCAAGTAGCTGTGCTATAGAGTTCTCTTTCAAATATGACATGAGATGGAATAGCTTTGGTCTTTTAGTTTTGACTTTTAATTTACTTTCTCCTTCACACACAGATGTCATTTCAAGCATGTTTCCTTCCATTCACTCTCCCTCCATCTCACGTTCAAGGTCACTATAGTCACTCACTAAGATCTCATTGGAACTTACTCAGAGGCTTCTTCACTGGGTGTGACCTGTGGTTCTAGTATGCTGGGGACAAGACACAAAAGACAGGTGCATTTTTTCATGAACCTGGTAGCCACAGACTCATTCACAAAAGAAAGTGGTCAGAAAAGCTCTTGAAGTTTCACTTCTTAACATGAAGACCTGACAGCTGCCTAAATACCAATGCAAAATTAAGGAAGGTCTCTTCATTTCTCAGGACTTGACTTTACCGGCGGCTGTGGGGTTTGAACACAGTTCAGTGCAAACTTTCACAGTATTTTGAGCTGTAGCAGAAACTAGTTGTATTCTGCATCTTAAACCCAGCATGTAGTTGACTTTGTTTGGAGGTTAATTGGGGGTTTTGTTCTTGTTTTTGACAGTGCAACATTGGAACCCCTCTTTTGGGTGTGCCCAATCTTTTGAGAGCTTAAGATGTTGCTGCAAAGTCCAGATCCCATATTCTTAGCATCCTTCGGGGCAGACTGAAGCTTAACCAACTGAGCCACTCCAGGCATGGGCCAAGTACTAGGGATATAGGGCCAGGGCAGCCTCCACCATTGGCACAGCAGTCTAGGTCTGTCTGTTGGCCATGTGATACTGAGAGGCACACAGGGCACCTTGGGGATGTCCAGCCTGGCTCCTTGAAGAATTTGGGTTGATCCCTGCTTGCTGCTCAAAGACCCAAAGCTGATGCTACAGCATCCTCAGCTATCATATGGGCTTTTCGGTATCATCTGAACGTGATCCAAAGTTCATCTAGGGTTAGTTCTCTTGCTTATCCTAGGCTAGGAAAGTGGTCAAAAGCCAGTGTGACCCTTGGAAATGTGTCTTGCCACAAATGCTAGGTGGGTCTTGAGGCCCTACCTTAGCCATTGAATTGTCCTTGTCACCAGCATTGTACTGCTTTCTGAATGAAAAGCAGCTTGGTTTTCACCTCAATTCTTTGTGATGACAGAAACAATGTCATTAAAATGACACAATACAGAACTAAAACACCCAGTCATAGTTGTTCATTCTAGCCCCCAGTATGGTGAGATCAGATTTGAAAGGGGGTTGAGCGCTCAAATTGTATGATTCCATTTTCCCTGACTTTCTCTCCAATTTAGCATTAGTGGTAAAGAACTGGCAGTACTGGGGGTTGAACTTGTCTAGCACATGCTAGACAGTGCTCTTGCCATGCCCTTTTGTTTGTATTTTGTTTTTGAGATAGGGTCTCATCAGCTTTGCCCTGGCTGGCCTGGAACTCATGATCCTCCTATTTCTACCTCCAGAGTAGCTGTGATTATAAGCATGAACCATCACACTGGGCTATCACTGGTTTTTAATACAACTCTGGAAAGTTACTTCTCTCAGTTTTAATTATAATAAAGATTTTTCAAAGATGGGCCTTAAGTACTTGATTTAAAACATATTTTTCTCATCAAAAAGCTGAGACAAAGGGGTTAAGGAGCAGCAGTGCTAACATCTATAGTAAATGGAGGAGCCATTTAAGTACAGCTTTCCACCTGCCTGGTGCACCTGTAAACTGATTCTGCCCTGATCATGTCCTGTGCCTGTTTGTAAGCACAAATAGGGTGTCTGTGACAGGCAGGCACAGATGCAATCAGCATGAGTTAGATCCTCTGGATATAACGAGTTACACCTCGTTTTCTGCAGAGCAAACAGTGCTTTGTTTGATATTAAACTTAGGCTTTATTTTCAGTGGTGTTTTGTTCTACTTTTTAAATAATAATTCTCGAGTGGGGTGTGCATTAAGGTAAAAGTGTGAGCTCCTAGGAGTATTTCCATGTTCTCACACTCATGTCCTGCTAACTATCTCACCACTGCTGCCTTTTCTCTTTTTTCCTTTGTCTCCTGTTTCTGCCTTCCTCCATAGGGCAGTGTCATATCAGCCAGTCCTGTCCCACCAGGCAGGTCCTACTGTCCCCAATGTGGTCTCCAGCTCTGCCTGCAGGATCTGCTGCTGTCAGGTGGAGCCCAGACATGCAGGTTTACCTTTCTCTTCAACTTTTTAGATTCTTCATATATAAAACATTCCATTTGGAATGTGAAAAAATTATAACAACAAAAATGTAGAAGGAAAAGTCAATACATAATTTTGCTTGAGTTGAAATGTGCTGTTTGTTTTAAAAGTCCTAAGTGTTTGGAATTGTTCTAGCTCTCAGAAAGGAAGTGGGACCCTTTCTGTTCCAGAGAAAGAATTCAGTCACCTTGGAAAAGTTCCTTTCTTTCTCTCTGGCATCAATGCATTTTTTTTTTCAGTACATACTGGTACTGAATCTGGTTTGAAGTTTATGAATGAATATCAATAGGATCACACAGGAGCCAGGTGCAGGTGGCTCCTGAAAACCTAGTTACTCAAGAGGCAGAGATTAGGAGGTTCACAGTTGTATATCAGCCAGGCAAGAAGTGGGACCTTATCTCAACAATACCCAACACAAAAAAGGGCTAGTGGAATGGCTCAAGTGGTAGAGCACCTGCCTAGTAAGTGTGAGGCCCTGAGTTCAAGCACCAGTACTGCCAAAAAAGTGAGATTACATGGGTAAGCAGACAGAGTGGACACTTACTTACTTAACTATGAGGAACTTTGTGTTTTCCTACTAGCTATAACGAGCTCTTTATGTAGAAGCCCATTCATTCTTTGGCATAGGATGGTAAATATTTCTCCTACTATATTCAATTGCCTCAATTGCCCCCTGCCCTTGAGCTTTCTGCTCTTTCCTCTCCCTGCTCCAGCCACTCTGACTTGCTGTTGCCTCAGCTCACTGGCCACAACCTACCTGGCAATCTTGGCACTTTCTATTCCCTCCACTTGTGATATTCCTGTTTTAACCCCTCGCTTCCTTTAGGTCTTGGCTGAAGTTTTGATGTCCCTCTCCCTGGCTTATTTGCCCAGCTTTCCATTGTTTCCAAGCTCAGGTGGGAGAGAGGGGAGGGTGCTAATTACTTGACCTCCTCAAACACTGAGGCTTTTACACTGTAAGTAGAAGCTCTTAAAAGGTAATCCTTAATAATTGCATAGGAACCCCAGGGGCTTATTACATTTTAATCTTGTATCCAGGAAGGTGGATGAACGTTCACATTAGTTCTAGTAGTTTATCATAGATTCCCTCCAAATGCCTGTGTTTTCACTCATATCATATGAGAACAATGCCAGTTTTGTTCCTTCTTTTCAAATCTTTACCTTTTATTTCTGCTTCTTGACTAACTGGGTAGAACCTCTAAAATAATATTGGGTAGAAGCACTGGGAGCTGGCCTTGTTACTTTGCTCCTAACTTTAAAGGGCATTTAAAAATTTTTTTTTTCTTTATTCATGTGTGCATACAATGTTTGGGTCATTTCTCCCCCCTTCCCCCACCCCCTCCCTTCCCCCCTGCCCCCTCCCTCTCCCTCTCACCCCCTCACTACCCAGCATAAAGGGCATGTTTTTAACATTTATTTCATCATTAAAAATATTTGCTGCTGGTTTTTTTTTTTTTTGGCTAGGCACAGTCTAGAAAAATGTAAAATACTGTCTAACACAGTGTAATCTTTTTTGGTGTGTGGTTCTGGGGATCTAACCCTGGGCCTCAGGCATGCTAGACAAACACTTAACCACTGAGCTACATCCCCAGTCCCCAGTGTAATCCTTTAATAGATTAAAATCTATCAACTATTACAGCTAAAATAGTTTAAAGTTATTATATTTCCTTAGTGAAGAGAAAATAGAACAAGATAAAATGTTGAATGTTAAACAGAATCCTACT